TCAGACCTCAGGCCAGCGCCACCACGCGTCCTCCCCCTTCACGCTTTGGAAGGCGCCGCGGTGGCGGCCGAGCGCGCGGAAACGGCGAGAAAATTTGATGGCGTGCCGGCCGTGGGCCCGGACGAAAGTCCTGCCGGGTCACTTCGAGCCGAGCGCGCACGGGGCGTGGCTCAGAGCCTTGCCCGAAAGTGGCACTTTCGGGCGCCCGTGTGTGTGAGAGATTTTTAGAAGCCAACAAGAAATGTGTCACCCTGCACAAAGACCGCAGGGCGGGGACCTGTTCCTTTTTACCCATCTCCTAGTAGAGGTGTCCGTTTTATTTATTTATTTATTTGTCACACAGAGTGATTTGCGCTCGGCTTGTGTGTGTGTGTGTGTGTGCACTCACACGCGCCCGTCCCCAGCGCGCTCGAATCCTATCTCGAGGTCTCGTTGGGTAGTTGGGCCTGGGGGGGGGGGGGGGTGTTTTGTGAACGGACCCGTCGCGTGTCTGACTGTCACTGTGTGCTGTCGTGCGATTTTCGGGCCCGGCGAGTGAACGGCGCCTGGCTTCACGCTGTTTTGTCGTGCTCGAGTTGACCGAGTCTCATGACCCTCCCGCGCATCTGCTGGGCCGGCGTCGCTCGTGGCCGCAGCGCCACGACTAGCCGCGTCGCGTTGGTCCTGCTCAGGGACGGCAGCAAGTCGCTCACGAGCTCCGCAGCGCTCGCGAGGCCGGCGGCGGGGACGTCAGCTTTGGCGACAAAGGTGCGGCCGCTCTCGACTGTGGAGGATCTCGTGTCGGCGGTGGATGGTGGCGGTGCCATCACCGAGGCGGAGGTCCTCGAGTGCCAGGCCAAGTGGGCCAGCGCGATCGCCTCCATCTCCTCCGTCTACCTCGGCAAGGGAGACTTTGTCGCGGCGGCGGGCGAGGCGGCGGGCGAGCTGTACGGCTACGGCCACCACAACGTGCTCTTCAAGCCGACCAAGGCGACCAAGCACCCCTTCCGCCCGACGGGCGCGGACGCCATGTCCTACTTCGTCGGCGCCGAGGCGATGGAGAACGACCAGTTCAAGGGCGAGGACGCCGGCTTCGCCATC